ATAAATCTGATTTTTTTTTAACTTAAACAGTTACAGTGCCATGTCATGCATTTCGATACAGGCAGAATTCCAGTCTGATAAGTGTCATGATATCTAGTCAGATGAAACCAGGCTATGAAACTTCAGGCCAAGAGAAAGAGCACCTTTGCCCAACTCAGCCCTGTAATCTAAGAAAAACTTATACACTATACCAAAAAGAGGAGTCAAAACAGTTATAAATTACATTATGAACACATATAAAGTGACGTAATAAATCAGTGTATTATGGCTACTCCTAGCACTATGGTTTCGCTTACAGGTATAATTAAGTCTCCTTCAGTGCTTATCTTTGCGGGGGAGGGAGGAGTGGAAATACATGCTTCACATAATTTCCAAAACTGCAAATAAAACATTTGAAATAGTGTTTCCCTGTTCTCTAATTAGACAGGTATTTTCCTAAGCATATCTCTCTCTCCCATTAACACCCAGGGTCTTTTCCCACCTTACCACAGGTAGGTAAGTACCTGCACGGATTTCCCTATTGTCTCCTCTCCTTTCCCTCACTTTTATTTTGAAAGAGGACTTTGTCTGCTTTTTCCTCTCATTACACAGCAGAACTTTAATAATATTTTATTTTTTCTTGCTTCTGTTATTTTCTGAAGGCAAACTGCCAATTAAAAAAAAATAGCCTGTTTCAATTAATATCTCCCATACTACAAAAATTTTAACCAATTTTCTTTTAACACTGCCTATTCCTTTGTCAGTTCTCCTAGTCAAATTCCTCATTAAACCCCTCCTCATTCCACACCAGAAACTAGCTTTATTCTGCTGCTCATTTACAGTCACACCAATCTCTTTTAGTCATCTTAACCATGTCTTCCACACCATTCAAGCCACACATTCGTAGCCTGTGCTAAGATTTCCTGACTCATCCAAATAATAGAAAATTTGACCACTGGCCTCTAAATTATTTATTGCAGATGTCTATTTATTCTCATCTCTTACCTCTGTCCTGTCATCTTTTCAAATAAGCCTTGCAAATCCTTCCTTAAACCTGTATTTTATTTTCTCTTTAAGTTTCCAAGTTGTTCTGTGTAAACTGAAATAACTGTCCTTGACATCTCATCACGACCTTTTTCCTACAGCAAGTTTAAGATCTAAACTCTACTCAAAAATTAAAAATCCGGCCTCATTAACTCTCATCTATTTAAAATATACCTATACTATTCCTGACAGCTTTTCTTTCCATTAACAATTTTTATAACTAAAGTACTTTCTGCTATATGTATTGTTGTTGGTCCCTCCTAAGTGGAATATAAACTCCCTAAAGGCAGTAAGTACCCATTCTCTAATAAACACTCCGTAATCTGGTTAAGTGCTATTTATCTAAACACTCAGGTACTATATGGAAGAAAAAAAACATTAGGCTTTATATATACATATCTATAAGACATTTTAAGTTCAAGCAATGCCTCTAATATATTATGCTAAACAACCTCACTGGGCTTCGTTTTTCCTCTCTAAGAAAATGAGAAAAATACTCGACCTATTTATTTCACAGAAAATATGGTCTGTGGAGGGGGAAAGCATTAGTTAAGCTATTATCATCAATCAATACAAATGTAAGGATATTACTTACTTTATCATTTTTAGTCATCAGTACTTATTTAAAATAAGCTTTGGGTTTTTGGGTTTTTTTAAACCAAATTCAATGCACAGCAAATTAAGTGACTTGCATTATACATCATTTATTCATATCAATAATGCAACTTCTGTACTGTAAGACTGAGAGCCAGCCATGTGTTTAACAGTAAGGATGTTTAAATTATATAGTACCTTCAAAATGCATTCTCAAGGTTAAAAGATAAATACTTGCAGCTTAGCCAATAACAACTGCCTTCAAATCTGTAAAAATCAGGAATGTTTAAAAATCCCACTCCCTTTTGTATCTAAATTATTGGATTTAAAATTTTAAGAAATCCAAAAGGTAGTTTAATATTGCATAAATTTCCTTTTTAACTGCTTAAAATGTCCATGTGTCCTCTCCCATTGTTTTGAATCCATCAAAGGTGACAAATAACAGATTGCAGAGAAAGGGGGATACAAAATATACATAAATGTACTAAGTAAAGATATCAAAAATGTGACCACCACAGAGACAAGAAAAACAAAGTTTCTTCTAGTTCCAACCATAACCCTATGAACAACCTCAAATATATTATTTCCTAGTGTGACCATAATTCCAATAAAAAGAGCATCATGTATGAATACTATCAAAATGATTAGAAACTTAAAATTACTAGTAACACATTTCTCATAGGAGTTGCTTTTCATTTTCAAGCAGGAATTGAAGACAGAAAAGCAAAATTTTCATACTATCGATCTGCACTGTCAATTATGGTAGCTAGTGATCATATGCACCTATTGAATGCTTGAAATGTGGCTGGTCCGAAGTGAGATGTGTTGTAAGTATAAAATGCACAACAGATATCAAAGACTTACCCAAAAAATGTAAATTATCTTACATATGTGGCTCTCATTTAATATTTCTACTGGACAGCAATGATTTTGAGAGAAGTCAACTCTCAAATAAAAAACCAGATACCAGAAATATAAAGCAGCTTGCTTAATATCACTGCTTGGTAATATCACTGCAGAGTCTAGAACCTGATCACCTTAATCCCACCCTCATTAACAGAAGGAATTCATCCCTTGAGACTCAATTTGCCCATCATCTTCCTGATCGGATGCACTCATTCATTCCCTCTGCATCTCCCAGCCCAAGTGATCACATCCTTTTTAGTATTACTTGGATCTACTACTGCCCTTACAAACATACTGTTATAATTTGTGTTTTTCTCCCTGATCGGACTAGAGAACTTCTTGAGGACAAGCACTGTCTTATTCATTTTTCTATCCCTGGAACCACTGCAGTGCCAGGCACCCTTACAGGGCCTCAGAAAACAATAAGATCTTTCAGAGGGTCAATTTTTAGCCCTACTGAGGTACAACTAACAAATCAAGTCATGGACTATGTGAATGCACAGCTCCAAAACATTCATCTTTATCATTTATCTTCCTTAAATTCTTTTTGGAATATGGAAAATATGTAATAAAATGGTTAATTTATGTTATCAAAGCAATACAAGTTATAAAGCATTTAAAAAAAGTGTTTCGTACTGCTGCTCTGAAAAGTCTGGTCTGATGTTCTGCATAAGAACTCTAAGCAACACTCTCATTTAGTTATAAGTTCACTTATGGAATGTGCTTATTAATCAAGAAGACACTGTGCAAGATAAAGAAAGATTCCTGGACATGAGAATTGATACAGCAATCTTCAATTAATTGAAAACTTTAGAACCATTCATGGCTGAAGGGAGTAACAAAGAATCATATGCTTAATATACAGCAAGTTACTTAAAGTTAGTTTCTAAGATTCCTAAATGCAAGCATAGCAACTTTAACATTCCATTAAACAGAAAAAGTTGTGAAATTTATGGGTGAAAACATTAAAATACATTGCTTTCCAAAAAACAGTGCAAGAAATATGCGTACAAAATACAAATAGCAACAGAGATTTTCATAAGAAATAGATTACTTTGGAATCTATTAATTTAGGCAAAATTACTCCATATGTGCTTTGGACCTAAAAAAACTTTTGAAGTTTAAATTAAATAATAAACCTTTTATCTTTCAGTCACAATGCTTTCCAGTACTCAAAGACCATCTTAATGTTAAACAAGCAGTTATCTTCAACTGTACTGACGTCAACTAAGACACTTAAATCTAATTTGCTACTATGAATAAGACCAACAAGCTCAACTATGGCAGAGCTTCTTAAGTGTCCTGTGGAGACTTGATCACTAGCCAAGGATGCAAAGGTACAAAGTCTCTCCTGGAATCAGGGTTCCTGGACCTCCTAAGTGCAGCCTTCCTCCTTTAAACTATGTCTCCTCCACTCTTCTAAGAGCAGCTTTCTTTTTTCTCCATCGCTTCTAATCCATGGCTTTGATGCTCCAATATACTATTAAACAATTTTCCCAACAGCACTTTTTTGCTTGACACCCACCTGGAAAGATTTTAGTGTACCTTTAATAGGTAATCTTGTTCAAAGAGGGAGGCCTCCTTCCTTAACACTCAATTCAACACCCACTACTAAAAATAAAAATATAATTACAACCTCAACTTCCATCAGTAGAATACAGGGAAAGAACTACCACAGGCTCTTCCACATTCGTTGTCTCCAGGCTTTCCTCCTCCTTTAGTTTTCGTCTTTCTCACTTCCCTTCTCAATCCCTGCTCCCCAGCCCCCGAAAAAAATTCCACAGCTGGAGAATCTCATTTTTAAAGCCAAACCATTTAGTGCGGAAAATAAGTATGTGCTTTTTTCCTTCAATTATGTATTGTTCCTCCGTCACTCGTAAAGAGTTAACCGGCCCGCCCTCCCAGAAAGATGTTGCGCTAAATACACACAGAAATAATACTGTCTTCGCGAAGCAAGTGGATTCGCGGCAAAAAAAGGCAACCGCCAGGAAGGGAGAAGAAAAAGGGTCATTAGCCCCCAAAGCCTTAGATGGGACAAGGAGGTGAAAACAAGTGGGGGAGGAGGCATAAGTGAGAAGTGGAACACAACACGGTCGCCAGAACTTAACAATTCTACAACAGGACCGGCCACTGAGGCTCCAGCCCCGTCCTGAGGGACAAGGGGGTGGCCTCCCCTCTCCCTCTGGAGCAAAACTAACTCCCAGCGCCTCCGCCCCAGTCCCCGACAAGAGGGGCCTGGTACGGGCGCCGGCCCCTCGCACCTACGGCGGGCAGTCGGCAGCGGCCTGGGTGGAAGCAAGGCCCGGAGGGAGGTGAGTCGGGCCCCGGCAGCGCCAAGAGTACGGGATGGAGGGTCAGAGGCGGGCACCCGCGGGAATGGGGGCCCCGGCAAGGGACCTTTTCATCCCGGGATCCCCGGGGGCCCCCCGCCGCCCTCGTAGAGCAGGGTTCCAGGTACTGGCCCGCGCCGCACTCACCGCTCCTCACCTCACGCCGCCTGAGCCTCCGCCTCCTCCATAAGCCAAGCTGCCTCAGCCGCCACGGTCCGAGCCATTTTCCGCTCAGCTGCCTGAGCCGCGGCAGAAAGCTTCGGCCGGACTCCGCCGCCAGCCAAGCACAATACGTCACTTCCGGCCGGGAAGCACCGCCCTTTGCACCCAGGCTTCTTCCGGATTGGCTGGTTCCGAGGGCCTACCTGAGATAGTGGGCGGGGCTTGGGCGAGTCTCGTGAGGAGCCACCTATTGTAGAATAGCTGGGTTTAGGGTCCGACTCCCGCCCGCGCAATGTCGAGTCGGTTCTGGACGTCTCTCCTGGCGGCCCCAGATCTTGGGAAGGGGCGCCTTTGGGATCTTCGGCCCGGCGTCCGAAGCCCGCCAACCACTGAAGAACTGAATTGTTTCCGTGCCCTCTCCCGGGACTCCGCGCGCGCCTCCATCGCGGCTGCGGCTCCCAGATTCGAGGTCTCCGCCCCAGGCCGCGCGGAGATTAGTTTGTGCTCGGAAGACCGAAAGGAATAGGCAAGATACACAATCATTCACTCCACCCATTGTTTACCGATTCCTCACGGCGGATCAGGTGCTGTGGGGTGTGTAATTAGTGACCAATAACATGGATGATATGAAGCGCTTTCACAAGCGCTCATTTAATCCTCACAACAGCCAGGTAAAATAGCCCAATAACTCCCAGCCTGTCGGCTCTTTTCTGTGCTACAAAATATCTTCACATATAATCTCCATAGTAATACCTTCCCCGTGAGAATTGAATGACACTATGCTTTTGCCCTCAAGTGTTAGATTAAAAAATTACATAATCATGTCAAGCAGATGGAAAAAGTATCCCCCGTTACAGATGGTGAAGCTGGGGGCATGATTCAAAATGAGTTCTGCCTCCAATCCGTAGCATTTTACAAATGATTGTCCCTTAAACAGTAAGAGTAGGGTGTCTGCTCCTTACAGAGATTCACAATCAATGTGGTAGACTGAGTCGAGCTGCAATTCTCAGTTAAAAAATAACTGTGAGGGGGGAAAAAAATCAGAGCTGCTGAAAATGAAAAATAATAATAATTGTGAGAAGGCTGTAAGAGAAACAGAAACTTACCTCCAACTCATAATGGGAAAGAAACATGTCAGATATTTTTCCTTTCTCGTTTGTTTTGTTTTTGAGGGAGAATGTGAAGTGGATGAAGCACTCTAATCATTAACAAACATGCCTACACCTCCCAGGAGATGAGACTGGATGGAGTTGCTATTCTATGGAGAAGTTTAGAAACAACTGTATGATTATTCTTTATGGCTGTGGCTACCTGCTCTAGTCTACCCACCCTTTCTACTCCTAACTTTCCACGCCGCCCATGCATACACATTTCCAGGCAGGCTTTACACACCCTGGAAGAATGTCCCTTAGGAATTTGCTTAGTTCCACAGCATTGTTCTGCTTTATCTTCTCATCAAAGGAGGAATTTCTACAATTGGCAGCTCTTCCATAAGATTAAAAGGGGAGGGGAAATCAATTTATCTTAGGGCGGGTTTTCTAGCTTCTGCTCCGGAACTGTGGGGGTTGGGGGGAGATAAGAAAAAAATGAGGCCTTGAGAGAACACTGTGTCTTAGAGGGGAGATTAACTTTGAATTTGTATTTTTCTTCTGAGAAGTGTTTTCCTTGGACCACAGAAGCAGAGGGCCCTCGCTTGGGTGGGTTTGTTGTTGCAGTTCCAACTTCATTATTTTCTTATGGCTCTTGAATGGTCAATACTTTGTAGGCTCTGATCAACCAGAAGGCTCCCAATAAGAACAAAGGGACCTTCATGGTTCTCCAGATCCCTAAAAAGCAGTATTTACAAGTTTCCAGGTGTCAAGAATCTGAACTGGTAGCTCTTCCTTAGTATATCTTATCTGTCTGGCAATGGGCATATGAAGATGCATATGTAAACAACAGAAACACGGACTTCTAGGAGAACGTGCGTACTGGTACTGCTGTCATTTGGAACCAAATAGAACATAGCTAGCAGCTGTTTCTCCTCTCTCACTGGCTTCTGTCGATGCAAGAACATCCAAATCTGTAGAGAATTTCTATAAAAAGTTATTTGAGCCAATGAGGATATGCCTGGAAGCAAAGAGCTCAACACACTGGGGGGGGGGGGATGCTTCTTAGAATGACGGTGTGCAGTTTCTTTTATGCATTTGGAATTTAGGAGAGAACCAAGGACTATTACATGAAGGTGGGAGAAAGCTAGGTGGGGGACTGGATTACAGGATAGTTAACAAGATTATGTGCTTCCTTAAGGGTGGATATGCCTCCAAGGGGTCTGAAAAAGGATTACGCTAGCATTGCAAAGGTGTGTTAACCTAGATGCACAAGAACAATGCACAGGGCTGCTTAAGGCAAAGATAAACCTTTTACTAGAAAAGTTATAGGCCTGGGGCATGACTATCTACCAAAACCTGCCCAGTTAGGAAATTATGATCAGATCACCCTGTGAAGTTACTTTCCTTTTGTTTGTTTGTTAAATTTTAAAATTTTGGGGGGGGAATTGTGTTGGGGAATCGGGGAAGGGGAACAGACAAGCTGCTGTCCTTTTGTTCTTCAGTCTAGTTGTGGAGGACATTCCTTCACTGGCCCATGTTGGTATTGTCATCATTGTCTTCTTCCCGGCTGAGGCAGATGGGTCGCTGACCATTGGACGGCCACTCAGGGTGGTTCAAGGCAGCCCATTGCAGCCTGGGTCGCTGACCATTGGACGGCCACTCAGGGTGGCTCAAGGCAGCCCATTGCAGCCTTCTCCGTTGCCGCCACTTACGGCAGCCCAGCTCCAGGTCGAGCTGTTGTTCAGCATCTTAGCTGTAGAGGGCAGTGTCACTGGCCCTCATATGTGGGATCCGAACCGGGGCCCTCTGGCGTCCTAAGCCAGCTCTTAACCAATGCGCCACTCGGCCGGCCCCCAAGATGTCTCCTTTCAATGATGTCAGTTCATAAGTCCCTTCATCTAATTTAAATCCAGCTTAAATGCACTGTGATGCATGAAGGAAAGTAAAAACAGAAAAATGGGTTTTGCCAGGGAGCCTGAAAGAACCAAGCAGCCATTTTGGATTTCCCTTAGCCCCAACTATTTGTTTAATTTACAACCATAGTTTATCCATACAATATACCCTAGAAGTTTTTCATCACTTATTTTACAACTCTTCCCATGAAATATAACATAAAAGACAAAACTTTTGTTCCAGAAGAAGCCCTTCTGGAACACAGCAAAGTTATTCCTACATATTTTGAAATTTCAACCCTTAAAATCTCAATTGCTAATGAAAACTCAGAAGTCAAACTTATGAAGACATTTTATACCCTCTATAAACATAGGTTCTTTTACTGGCATATACATTTCATAATTTTAGAAATATATGCTTCCTTAACAAAAACACAAGACATTTCATTAACAGATAAGCCGAAAGTAGGAGAGCCTATGTTCACTAATGATTTTTTTTTTGTAAACCCGGGTAAAATAAAGACATGTCTGTTTTAATTAACCAACAAACTTAAGCTAGCTTTTATTTACTAAGGATTGATTAATCATAGATCATGTAAATTTGAAAAGCATTTGGGTTAGTTTCTATTTTTCTGAGAATTTTAGAATACCCAAATCTTTACAAGTGCTTGCCTTTACATTAATTTTAACAGAACCATCTGGAGGTAGAAAATTATCTCACATTCACCACATACATATATAGACACACACAGACACAAACATAGACCTTTTAGCCAAGAGAAAAACTCATTAGTTTATAAAAGAACATTTAGATCCAAATTTTGCCCTAGAGGCATTTATAATTTATATCTGTCATTGGCAAGTCAAATTCCAAATGACCTCCCCACTTTTAAAATAAGGACAGCCATTTTTAATACCTCAAAGAGTTGGGTTGACATCTAAATGACATCATAGGTAGAACCATTATCTAAATCCTTATTTTGAAGACCAATTAAATATATGTTTTCCATTTATTCTGCCAAATTTTATAGTTGGCTTTTTTTAACGGTGCATGCAAAAGATTAGAAGTATCAAAGAAACCTCATTTCAACCATCTTCGTATTAAGGATTAAGAGGGGCTAACTCGTGGAGCTTGTTTGCCTCAAATGCATCATTTCTCAGGTTGACTTTTAAGTTTTCCTTTGAGATCTGTAGAGTCTGAACAAAGTAACACAAACTGAGTGACTTAAACAGTAACTTTATTGTCTCTCAGTACTTGAAGATAGAAGTCTGAGATCAAGGTGTCAGCAGTGTTGGTTCCTTCTGATAGTTGTGAGGAAATATCTGTTCTAGGCCTCTCTCTTTGGCTTGTAGATGGTTTTCTCCCTGTGTCTTCATGTCATCTCCTCCTCCTAAGTGTCTGTATCCAAATTTCTTCTTCTTATAAAGACACCAGTCATATTGGATAAGGGCCCAACCTAATGACCTCAATTATAAGAACCCTATCTCCAAATAAGGCCACATTTTGAGATACTAAGAGTTAGGACTTCAATATATGAATTGTGAGAGCAACATAACTTAATCCATAATAATCATAGTAGGAAAAGAATGAAAACAACCTAAATTTCTATCAAGAGGGAATAGGTTAAATAGTCGATGGTATGTCATAAAATGGGAAATGGAATACTATGCAGCTGTTTAAAAGATGTACTGATAAGGAAAAATCTCCAATATGGAATAATCTCCAGTATATTCTGTTAAAGGAATAAGCTAATTGCCCAAATAATCTGTGGACTGTCAGTATTTACGTTAAAAAAAAAATGGAGTATGTTGTAATAGGATAGGATACCTCTGGAAGGATACACAAGTAATTGATAATAGTGGCTGTGTCTATAAAGAGGACCTGGAAGGCTGGGGGTCAGCAACAGGAGGGAGCCTGCCTTTTTATTATATACTCCTTTTGTACAGGTTGGCTTCACTACCATGCACATGTAATACTTTCAAATTAAAAAAGAAAAACATGTAAGAGAACTTAGTAATTTTGGCCTGAAGCATATTTAGACTGCTCCAGATGCTAATGCACTTTGATTAGAAGCTGAATGAAGAATGATTAAGAAAAAAAAAAGTTAAAAAACAAGTTTTTCTGAAAGTGATGTAAAACAGTTCTGGAAT